GTTTCTATGCAATTTCACTCGGCCTTACTTCTCAATAGTTATTCTCATCCAGGCCCCAACGGGACTCGAAGTTGACCGGTTCAGAGTACAATTTCGACATTTGATCACCACGCTACCCAGCCATCAGTGCGCTTGGGCCACAGGACAGAGGGGATTTTAAGAAAGGCTGGGCCTCTTCCATATCACATCTATGGTGCGATAGTCAATGAGACAAATTTGTATTGTGACATTACAATAGAATATGTTACTTATATTCATTAAAAGTAGTTTCCTAAACCATCAGTAAATCTTGAATAAGAGTGTGAAGGTCTTGTAGTCAAAGTTGCTCAAAATCATATAAGTAGACTCCACGTTTTCAGGGAATTTTACTTTGCCTGTCTTCCTAAAAAGTATTCGCATCCTGGCTGGACTGGACTGTAGTGTAAACCTCGTCTAGGTCTCACCAACGGGACTCGAACCCAGGTGATGCAGCGTATAATCTTGGCATTTCGTCAAGAGTGAAAGTCCAACTGGCTCTACGATATGCCTAAGTCTGCAGTCGACTGGATTATGAAAGTGGAGCAATGCTTCCTCCTCCATACAACCATGACGGCAGGGGAGGGCAAGAAGTGTCTGGGTGTGCCAGCAGATGCGGGAATAAATGTACCTCTCTTCTACTACCAGTCGGAGGATGCTTTGAGTAAGCCTTCCACTCATCCTCGTTTGTTTGCCGTCGGCCAAGTCGTCCCTCTGCCTTGACTGTATATGCTCTCCTTCACTTGTCCGTCGGGGTTTATGTGTTCGCATGCCCTTGGGTCCTAGATGGTGGGGTGGCTGAGCAGAGGGGTCAAGGGGAAGTAGTGCACTCACCACGCGTCCTGTAGAGTTGGGCGGGCTAGGAGACCTGGAGACGAAGGACAGGTGGAGCTAGGCTGCGTGATGTCTGCATGGTTTCACCACCTGGCCCAGCTGGTTTCGTCCGGCCCAGTAGGGGCTGGCCGACAAGGGAAGACAGAAAGGCCAGGAGTCACAATTGAGTCTCCAGATTGGTTCAGGTTAGTGATAGACCCCGGTTCTCGCCCCAGTACTATCCTCCTCCACTTGTCCCTTCGTTCACTCGGCCACCATCAGAACACAGTCTAACTGCCTTTCAGCCCACTAGGTCGATTGTACTCCTATCTATTCCCTTAGTCCTGCTCCATTCCCCTTCAAGTTGTACATTCGAACAAGGTTCTGTCGGGAGCCAACCGTCCTGGCAGCAGCCAACTCAAGCCTTGTCGACCCCAAAAAACACCCAAATGTGCCTTTGCAGCTTTGTGCCTAAGGCAAAGTGAACACGACACATAGGAAACATGGAAGCGACCAAAAATATTGTCTACAACCAACCGATAGCACGTGTAGCAGTCTTGTGAACCTGAACTCAACAGGTTCAAGGATTCAAAGTAATCAGTAGATCTTGAATAAAAACTTTAGTTGTCTATATTAAGAATTCTAGATAAGACTAACTAGGTTTCAATGAATCTCCTAAGATAACATTGTTGGGGAGACTTTTATTTTGTATGAAAGTGTATGATTAAGAGATTAGAATGTCTATCCTTCTTGACCTAGTGTTAAGGTGAAACTTTCATAAGAATGCGTTTCAGCTTCGATGATGTCCATCATATGATGGACGAAAGCTCAGCCTTGTTAGGGGGACCTTCATTTCGTATGAAAGATCGACCAACGAATCTCTTCTTCATGCACTTATATACGGAATGAAGGTCCCCCTATCAATATTTTCTCAGGAGATTAATCGAAACCAAGTTTCTCTTCGCATCTAGAAAGCTCAGTCTGTTTTCACCCGAAACGATGGAGGATTTCTAGTGGACTGCGTGAACCTGAAGATCGTATTAAAGCCAAATGACTGCAATACAACAGGATTCTGCTTCCTCTTCTGGTGAGATCGACCTTCGAATCTCATCTTCATGCACTTTCATACGAAATGAAAGTCTCCCCAATAAGAATTCTTGTCAGTCTAAGTCGCATAAGTTGATAGCCTACTGACTGATGAATTTTCTCACAAGCAGATGAGAAGGCCTCCTGTTACCTTGGGAATTCAATTGGCTTTCCAAGAGGTATTTCAATCCGGAAATACCTCAACTCTCCGTGCGGTGGTAACATGTTGGATTCGAGTCTCCTTGGGGATGCGAATGAGACAAGCTCAGGCAAGATCGAAACTGCATTCCGGCCAGAAGGAGAATACCTTTTGGGATGAAAGACTACATGAACTTCATTGGGAACTTGGGGGCTACTCAGCTTATTGGAGGAAAATTCGCCCATCAGTACTTCATGACTTTATGCGACATAGGTGGACTGGAAACCTTATTCAAGCTTCACCGATAGTCTTGAAGCCTACTTTAAACTAATTTACTTTTCATAGGTTGCTTAAGGTGCTTAAGGACCGATTGTGAATTTCCCCACACATCATAGGACCATGGGAAAATTCACTAAGCGACCTGTTGCGGAGTCAAGTTTGGGGCTCGCCGTCGATAAGTTGTTCCGCTTGCCTCGACATGGATTGGTCCAACGACAGTGCAATTAATTAAAATATTAGGAAATATGATGAACTTATATGCAGTTGAAGATATTCTCATTAATATCAGTAAACTTTTAATAAGAACTTTGTAAGCCTAGGCGGTTTAAGGTGATTTAAAGGGTGCTGGTCGAGTATTCCCAACGATGTTGAGAGATTAGGTCTCAAGATGCCTATGTAATTAATTAAGTCTTCCCATCCAGGCAGGATGCAGTTTCCATCCCGCTTCCCTGTCTCATCAGCGGCCCTAACAGGATCTGAGACTGGGTCATTCACCTAAGGAGACCACCTATTATCACTTCGCTGAGCAACCACGTGTGCAAGTGGATTTCAGGACGGATGTGACTTTTGAGGCGTTGTTTCTCATGATTTACCTCAAGCGTTTGGCAGCAGATATACACCTTCATGGACTAGCCCTCCAGATCCCTTATTTCAAAGATTGCGGATATCACATCTTTGCTATACTCCATCGTGATACTGTAATGAGTTTGGAATTCGGTCTTGGTTGGAAAGTTCCGTGGCCAGGCCTTCACTTCATGGACTGAATGCTTCTCTCACTTGGTTGCACTGCATCTCTTGAGTGGATTTCTGGCCAAACTCGCCTCGATATTCCATCCATACTGACACATTTCTATGAGGGTTGTGATTATCCCCTTCTCTATTTCATTGTGTAACAAGCCCCAAAAAGTCGTAGCCTCCATGTTTGATGGCACTCACCGTAAGCGAATTGTCTTCAATTGTCTCAATATTGCGGTCCCTTTTATTTTTGTTCAACAAAACTACCTGACCCAAGCATATCCATTTAGCGGATATTGTTGTTCTTCACTTTCCTCCCTGTTTGTATGAGTAATAAGGAAAGATTTCGCAAATTCCGTCTCTTTCTAATCCTCTTCTCATCAGTTTTCTCTCGACAACGATATCGACGGTCTCTCATCTTTGGTCTCCTCACTTTCAAATGTTGGCAAATGTTAGCAAATTGAAGGGATTTACTAATCGGTATCACCATAAACAAAACGTCTTTACTTCTGAATTATGCAATAAAGACCTCGGCTCATAGCTTTGCGAAACGATGAATCCGTTGAGCCTTCCTCTATCATATAGCATAACGTCAGAACAGTAAACTCTCATATAGGCAAAAATTTACCAAAATGTCAAATCTATATTACATTAACGAACTGTATTCACAATTAAGATCTTAATTACCCTATGCCGGTTAAGATGATATGGATACTGATAGTGGAGTTTTCCCATAAATATACGAGTAGGCCTAACGATGTAGGTGAAGTTCGTTACCTTACCACTTCACT